AGAAATCCACAAATATTTCGTAGAAGGTAAGGTCAGGAAGAAAGCCCTTCATTCTGACAGGCATTTTCCAAGATTGCTTGCTACTCTTGTCTCATATCTATTTGTGGGAATATTTGAAGTGATGGCACATTTACCTTAAAGTACATTGATCACATTGCTCTACTCCTTGTTTTCAAAAGGTATGACGGTGTATTTTGACTTAGGAATTTCATCTGTGGGATCTTGAGCCTTTATGTTTCCAAGGGTTCTTCTGTCTACTCCTGAGTCCTCCAAAGTGTTTCGGAAGCTGTACTGAATGAGAAAGGGGATTGCTGTGCTATTTGCATACTCATAAGCACTCTTTAAGTGGCTTGCTGTCATTAAAATTAACCATATAATTTTTCCACTGTAAATTATACTGTGACAATTGACTCCACCCCATCATTTTATTGAAACAAAAGAGAGTACATGAACTCTTACATTGTTGCTTGATTCCATTTCTAATGTATATATAATTCTGTTTGTAAACAAGAAAATGCCCCTTTGTAATTTTACAACTGTGATTTCAAATATTACCATGTGGTAGCAATAGCACAATATTTTTAATTAAATCTGTGATAATTTTTTTTTTACACTAGGCCCATATTTGGTATTTTAAACCCTGGCACTTGTAGAATAACATTTTCTTTAAAATGAGCTGGAATTACCAGTTTCTACATTTTAGTGAGATGAAAGGTTTTGCTTTCTTACACAAGTTAGGGTACAGCCTGTTTAAGAAGGTGGTGTACACAGCACACTGAGAGTTTTGAATGGCACCCAATATGTCACCTGCTGGAAAGATTTAACTCTCACCATGCACATATTCCCAAGGAAATGGTACGTCTCTGTATGGTTTCTGTCAGCCTCTGAGGTGACGAGGCTTTGGGTTTCTTAAAGATGGGAATAAAAGCATATTTCTTTTGTCAGCTGTTCATTCTGAATACTGCTGATGGAAGTTCCCCTTTCTTCCTCTTCCTCTGCTCCTCCTCAACACATGCTTTCCAATCAAAATTGATTGAGATAACGGTAAATATAAATTGTTGTCAAAATACATTTTTATAGAAAATAGAAGAATATTTATTTTTATTCTGCTACCAGTATCCTGTGTGGAAGAAATAATTCAACAGGAAATCCTGTTGACACAACATTTCTGACACATCAACCTTTGTGTGTCTTACCTCCCTGTTTTGGAGATTGTTTCTCATTCAGAAGCTGCTTCTTCCTGACAGGTGGTGTGCTCAGAGAGTTCACAGTTGGTAAACTGGCGATAACCTCCAGGAGGGGGATTTACAGAGACCATGGGACTTACTTGCTTTGAGAAATTTTGAAGATGCAGTGTATTTAATGGCAAGAAAAAAAAGGGTAGAGTGCTTCTTGCGAGCTGGCAGAGGATCAAGTGTGTGTGATGTGAAGGGAAAAAGGAAGGAGATTCTTGCAGCCTGAGAACAGACATCTGGCTGGCAAAAGAAAAGAAATATCATTGACAGCTGAATACTGTTTCAAACTGGGATAATTTTAGATCAAGAGGGCAAAGTTTTGCTCTCACGCATACAGCTCCCACTGAAAGGGATGGGAAAGGTGCGTGCATATGAGAATAAAATTTGATTCTAAGTGAGAACTGAACAACACACGTATTTTTACGCTAGATATTTAGACTTTCATCTTTAGATCACATGGTTTCCATCTGTCATATGTAGGCACTGCTAAAATGCTGCCAGGAACCAGGCTCTGGTTTGGTGACTTTCATTAAAGGAATTAGTGGTTTCTTTCCAGTTTCAGTGTGGCTGGATTTGAAGTGCAGAAGCCCATTTTCACAGTTTAGCATTAATTAGCACTCTTGTGGCAGCCTCAGCAGGCAGGTGAAGGATTAAATGGGCATGAAGACCAAACTATCCCTTTTCCCATAGTGGCAATTCCTTCAAAATAGGGCTGAGAGATGATGGACTAACGCAGGGATGCATGCACAGTTGCTGTCTGGGCTGTTCTTGTTCCGGATGATTGAAGGACTTTGGTCTACAGATCTGTTAATGTAGCATTCTTTTCTGCTATTTAAACAAACAAACAAACAAAACAGAAAAAGCAAACCCCAACAAAAACACAGTCCAAAAAGCCCCTTAATTCTGCTACCTTGGAGAGACATACTCTCATCCTTCTGAATGAGGGGTGAGAGCTGTTTAGGAGAATTTAAATGAGATCCTTGCCAGCCGTACACAGGAAGAATCGGTGCTGTTACATTAAAAGGCTGAAATGCTGCTGCTCTCTTTAGGTTTTGCTGAATCATTCAACAAGGTGCAGAAAGAAGGTGAGCCCTGACTCTTTTTTTGCTGAAGAGAGCCTCACAGGGATATTTTTGAGAATTGCATGGAGACTGGAAAACATAAAAGGAAAATTGTATTAAGTTTCAGTGAACCTGGAAGGCAGGACCTGTCCTGGTGTGAGTCAGAGGGCGTAACTCAGGCTTCTGTCCTGAATTTCATTAATCAGACGTATCGTGCTTTATGTTTATGTACACTGAATATTAACTGTATAATTACAGAAAATTACTTACGGTTGTAATTCTGCTGCTCACACTGAATCTTGGAAAACACTGAAATTTGACAGATTTTTTAAATTTTAATTTTGTTAAGGACTAAATCACAATCTAATAAAATGTAAGAACTATTTATGAAAAGCTATAATTAGTTATTTAATATTTCTAAAAGCTTTTATTGATAGCAATTCATATTTTTGTTTCATAAGAGACAGGCTTCCAGATGTTAGCCAAGTAATTAAAATACGAAACGGTATGTCTGAGAAATGGAATTCTCTAAACCAGTGTTAAAAATCACCCCTTACAGCTAATTTATTCAATGAAATAGTTGCCTTGCTTCAGTGTGATTTAAATGGTCAAGTCTGTTCCTTAGGACTTTGGGCCTCTCTTGTTAAAGTTCAGATAATGAACATACTTTTCATGTACCTTGTTTTGAGTTAATCCCATTTTTACGTATGAGTTAAAAAACATGAAGATGATGTCTCTTACTAGAAAATAGATTTCCTTCACTAAATAATCCCTTTTCTCTCGATGCCCCCTCCTTCCAGCATCTTCAATTAAAATAATGAGTATATACTTAAAATGGCAAAGAATACAGCTGTAGGAGAATATTTTTGAAAAGATCGCTTCCTGCCTAATTTTACCCTGACTGAACAGTGGGGTTTTGTCTGCCGGTCTGCAGCGCGGGCTGGCTGTGTGCTGGCTGCTGAGTTTCCCTGAAAGAAGAGCTGAGTGCTGTGAACTCCAGACCTCTGTGTGGTATCAGAAGCTCTTACTGTGCCAATGTAATCTTTTAATAGACATGCTTGCCAGAATGACTTTTTTCCCTCAAAGATAGAATTAGAAAGCGCAGTTGTCATTTAAATTGCCTCTGTCTTTGTAGTAGTTGGTAGTGATCTGTTGACCAGGATTAGATAATTTAAAAGCTGTTTAACAAAATAACATGCCTGTCTCTGTGAAATATATACAGTGCTGAGAGACGGGGAGAAAAGTCTCCCTTGACAGAGTTCGTGGGATTCTTTAGAAACTGCAGGATGCTGAGGCTTTTCTGCGGAATTACAAAAGCTTTGCGGGGCCCATGTTGAGCATTTGCATGATTTTCAGATGGCGAAGTATGTTCAGCTGTCTCTGGGCACCCTCCATGCACGCACATACACATTTTGCTGGGGGAGTGTTCTCGGCACATTTTTCATTGGGCTTTGCATTTGTTGAACATATATTACTGAAATGCTGCCCAAGATGCATCACTTCATCTTGTGTAGAACTTGAATCATCATGTTGCATGATTTGGTAAAATAAAAGAGATTGTGAAAGAGACAACTGTAAACATTCTGTTTCAAAAGATGTGCTCTTTTCAAAAGACCTTTCTGTTAGAGCCAAATAACACAAGAAGCAATATTTCCTTGCTCGCAGAGACATATATATTTATTTCTGGAAAGATTTGTTTTGGATTCTCAGTTCTTCCCGTATCTGCATTCTTTGAAATAATTTTGTATTTCCATGTTGACTTTCTCTGTGCTTTAAGTTTTAATCAAAGGTTCCTTGCTTCTGATGTCAAGGACTACTGATGTTAGCCTGTTTACATTCAGCAATTTTTCCTCTGTATGGGGTGAACATTCAAATGTGGTGGTGCCTTTTGCTTTTATCTACTAAACTTAGCACGCTCTCTTATTATTGACAGCTCAAAAAGATGGTATGGTAGTGGACAGGATGGCGTGACTTACTAACTTTTCCTTGTCTTTGGCAAATTTAGGTTCTCTTTCTAAAGACAAATTGTTTCTGTGAAGGAACCAAGACAGTAGAATGATAAATAAGGCATTGCAAACTTACATAACAATTTTTAGTCACATGTGAATTTAACATATTTCTGAAACACAGTTCTCAGTTGCATTTCTTCCATAGGACTTGTATTTTTTCAATTCATAGATTAAAGTATAAGAGGAAAGATACTTGTTTCTGATGTTTCATTTAGATTTTTTTCTCGGTGTGTTTTTCTACATGGATTGATCAATAAAGCATTAAAGAATGTGTATTACCACTAAAAATCCTCTCTACCTTTTTTTCTTAGAAATGCGATTTCACAAAGGAGTTTATTTTTTTCTTTCAATAAAGAGCTTGCACTCAACTAATTTGTGAGCACATAAAATGTGCAGGAAACATATGTTTGCCAGGAAGCTTTTCTATAACCAAAATGGTCAGCAGGACAGAAATCACGCTCGTTTTCTCATTAGGTATTAATCTTCCATTTTTGAAAAAAGCCTACACACAACACTGCTGAATATATACAACTGTGAATGAATCAAAGACAGCATATGCTGCGTTTGGTAATAGATGCTTACTTGAGTTAATGTTTAGGTTGTGTTGGAAGTCCCATCCTGGGCACCAGAAAGGTCTTTGCAGTCGGGAAGCACTTTGCGTTCTTGGGCAGCAGACAGCAGGAGCTGTGTCAGCCATGGCACAGTTTGCCTTGAAGCAATTAGCAGGAAGAGGAGGAATGTTGATTTCAGCTGCAGGAGGACAGCCAAACAGAACAGGTTTATACAAGGTACAGTAAGGCAAGCAGCGAGCTGAACATAGGTTGGTTAGAAAATACAGTATTAGAAAATACTTATGAAGAATTGCATTGGAGGTACAGAGTTACCGTTGACAACAGTAATTATTGACAGAGCCACATACTTAGGTCTAAAAAGCTCTGGAATGATGCAGAAGCAGGCAGTAGCATTCAGATGCCAGGCGTTCAAACTTCCATCCTGTGGCAGTGCATCTGTTTATCGGGAATTATCTCCTGAATGTAAATTAATTTCAGTCCTAAGTCTTGCACCTGTTGCCAAGAGGTATTTATTCCAATCCCTTGCCTAAAGCACAGGGAGTTATTGCTTGACGTTTTATAGCTCCAAAAAAAGCTGTCGTTTCAAAATCATTTGTTCAGAGAGGAGAAAATGGAGCAAAACAGTTCATTTTACCCTAAGCACTGCTATTTGGCAGTATTCACATTTGCACGGCACAAAGCTGCAATATTGATTTTTCACTCACAAGGCCTCCCACTAGTTCTTTCTTCGATTGTCAGAGTTGCAAGATGGATTGAATTACACTTTGCTTGTTGATACATTTATTTTTTTCTTTGTTGATAGGAAAAAATTACAAATAAGGCTTCAGCATAAAGATCACAGCAACTTTGTTAGTGGACTTTATTTATTTTATTTAGTTAAAATTCTTTTTGCGCCATAGAGATTCCTTAGAGCAGTCTCCCTACCTAACGCACACTGCATTGTTTTGCTTTATTGCTTACTGCTTTTGCAGTGTAATACGGACATTACAATCTCAGGTGTGTCCTCTGTTGCCTGTGAAGTGATCTAACCCTGCTCTAGTATTTTTAATGTTTGTCCTAATACAGAACTTCTCATGGATGCCTGCAGGGCAAAAAATTGCAGGATCAAACACATTCATAGTACTTACAGCAGTTGCCATAGATGATGAAATAAGATTTGCAGGCGGCTGATCTCTGTAACAAACTGCAGAGATCTTGTATTTGAATTCAAGGTACTTCGTAGCAGAAGTGGAGATTGTGCTGCAGGATCTGCAGGAAGGGCTCCGTGCTTGTCACAGGTGGCTCGATGTGGGTTTGTCAGCCCTGGCCCCATAGCGATCCCTGCATCTGACCTGCTGCTGCACACACGCTGGATGCCTCAGCAGCTGTACCCTACGCACCGCCACCCCTCCCCGCCTGCCCGTCTGCAAAAATCCCCTTTGGACAGCTGAAACTGCTGTTCCCCTTCTTGCTGGTCAAAACCCAGAAGTTTGTGGTGGGGAGGGTGGCCAGGCCTTGGCAGTGCCATGTGCCGGAGGAAGCCCTGCTGGGTGCAGGAGATACAGGCACCACTGCCACCACCCGAAGGGATGAGCTTTATGTGGATGGCGTTACATTTGGCAGGAGTGGTAGGATGTAGTAATGACAGTCACTAGCAGCATTATATTTGGTCCCACCACGGCTGTCGTGATGGTAATTAATCAAAGGAGCTGCTGTGTGCATGTTTGGTGGGCACTTTGTGCGTACCCCTCTCTGTGCCCATTTCACGCCCTCACTGAGCCGTGAGCAGCTTCTGTCTTCCTTGTATTAATTTGCTGCATGGGCGGAACATGTAGGGTGTTAATGTGATGGATTCGTGTTTTAGCTCTTTCCAACTTTCAACTCGTGATACTTCAGCAAGCCCCTAATAGTAGCGTTTGCTACTGCACATGGTATGTGCCGCCAAACTGACAGCCAGGAGTGAATTTGAAATGGAACTGTGGTGCTTTCCACAGCAATATGACTTCTTCCCTTATTAACAAATACTGAAACATACTGGCAAAGTAACGCTACCAGTTTCATGTAGGTTATGGTTCCAGAAAACGTGAAGTAGAGGCAGACCTGGTTGCTGCACTCTAGCCTTCCCCTTCCCCTCATGCTGGGGCGAATTCCCACCCAGCCAAAGAGCTGGTCATCTGAGACCTCATCAGTTCTCCTGCAGTAGAGGTAGGTTAGAGTCAGACCAGCCCCTTGCGTTAGTTTATTGCACAACTTGGACAAAAACTGGTGCTGGTGCAAAGGGGAATGCAGGGCCGTGCAGGTAGAGGAGAGGCGGATGGGAAGATGGGCTCTGGCTCTCAGGGAGCCACATCCTGACACGGACATGATCGTTATCAACAGCTCTTTTTTGCAGTCCTAACAGATAATCATCTTCATACAGTAAGAGTTTTAATCCACAGATCATTAATTCAGTAGAAAAAGTGACAGCCTCTGGTTCATGTGAAAATTTACTATCAAGGGGTTATCTCAAGTTGTTCTTGATCTTTTTAGATCCTTGATTCCTTGCCTCTTCTAACGCATCATACTTTTAAAGAAAAGTTTATTTTCTTTGCCTTCAAAACACTGTAGAGCTCCAACTTTCCATACTTAGTAGCTATTTCTCTTTGCTGTCACATTGCGTCTCCGGCAGCCTGCACTGAAATATTAATGGACTTGTGCTACTGTATTAGGATGACTTTTTTTAAAAATAGGAAATATCTGCAATTCTGCTGAGAATTCAGAAAGTATTTACTATTTGAAAGAAATAGGTATTTAACACTACCATGTTACCCAACTTGTCTTCCAAAAGGCAGTAATGCACACATTTTGTAAGAAACAAAAATATTCTGTTTTATAATAGTCCACCATAGCTATGTACAGGAAAGTGTAGTATACAGATACGTTTTTCTGATGCAGTATATATTTTGCATAAAGAAATGTCTGTAAAAGACTGAACAACTGTATGAATATCTGAACCATTGTTTTGTTTCTGAAGTATTTCATGCTGCTTCATTAGAGAAGTTACCTATTTTTAGGAATTCTCTCATGCAGAAAAACATGTTAAAAATGAAAATTCCCTGAAATACAAATATCATTTTTTGGAGGGACAGGGAGATTTTACACAGTACACATCTGCAGTTTGTGGTATTGATCATTTATATATTTGTTCAAATTTGTATCTGTGGTTTAATTTATGTAAAAGGCACAGTAAGGAGCACTGAAGTGCAACTAGGTAAAATATCAGCATGTCTGTTAGATCTGGTGGCACAAACACGTCCATGCTGGGGACATAAAATAGCTAAGCAAAAGAAGCCAACTTTTCCTGGAGAAAGGAAGATACAAGTTAAGAAAGACTAATGAAGTTGGAACTATGGCTTTAGGTTTTTGTTGTTTTGTTTTGTTTTGTTTTTTGTTTTTTAAAGGCACTTCTGCATTTGCAAATCCCGCCTGCTTTGCTGCTTCCCACTTTCAGACACAGCCTGTCTGACTGTGCCCGAAGAGGGGAAAAAGCAGCAGAGAGAAAAGAGATGGGAACTAGAAGGTGCAATGTAGCCGTGCAGACAGACACCACTGTCTGCCCTGGCACAGGTTAGAAGAAGTGAAGAGGAATTTCCTCCTTTCCCAGATTAAGGACACGACAGCAGTGTTGTAGGGCTGTGACAGTTTCATGAAAGATGCTTCACTTGACATGGTACCAGGTCAAACTGTTTAAAGGTGCACCTCCTTTAGCACACTGATGAGAGTTAGTGCCTATGTGACAGAAAAAGAATAGTCCAATGTAGTATATCCTTTAGGCTCAATCCTCCCTTTTTTTTTTCTTTTTTTTTAGGTTTCAGCCGAGCAGCACTACCGTTTGGTTTAGTTAGGAGGGAGCTCTCCTGTGAAGGCTACTCCATTGACCTCCGGTGTCCAGGAAGCGATGTTATTATGATAGAAAGTGCTAACTATGGACGAACAGATGACAAGATTTGTGATGCTGACCCTTTCCAGATGGAGAACACAGAATGCTTTCTTCCAGACGCCTACAAAATTATGACACAAAGGTAAAAAAAAATATATATCTCATTTTGAGGACTAAAGAGGAAAAATGCCCGAATTAATACAGTAAGAGGTGTATAACTGTACGAAATGCTAAGTTGTATTTGCCAGTTTGCTGTTGAAGTAGTGTTATTTCTATCTAGTAATATTAGAAGGAAATAAAAACTACCAGTTGTAATTAGAGAAGTTTTTTTTTTAAATTCTGTGAGCAAAAGTTAAAAAGCAGGAAGATAGCTGCAAGGACAATTGAACAGTTCACTTATTTGGAGATTCCCTGTGTCCTTGTCTTTTAGGTGATCAAACAGGACTCAAAATGTGTCCAAATGGCTGCTGCATTTTTTAGTAACTTCTACATTCCCTGACAAAGTTACACGTTTCCTATGAATGAAGTAAATGATTACTGTAGTTCCCACCTATAAAATGCATCCAGTGGAAAATGCCAGAATGATTAAATGCCAGGATGATTATGTCATTACACATGTGTGTACAGAAGCATATATGCATATATGGACAACTTAGATTATATCTTAGTGACAGCAGTTGTCATTCAGAGAAGACTATCAGTCAGAAGAGCCAATAAAAGTGTTTTTAGTAGAAATGGTGCATAAGAACTAAGATTCACAGAAATTCATGTGCTACAGGCTACATACGGGTGGCAGTCACCTAGTACTGACAGCTGGGGAGATGTCAGCGTAAATCAATCTCTGGCATTGTTACTGGCTTAAACTACAAGCCTGAACAAGTTCAGGATTGATGGGAAGTTTTCCTCCCAGTGCATTTTCCTAGGGATGGGAATAACCTGGGAGCTTTCTGGTGCATGTATGCAGAGGTGTCAAATGAAACATGCAAGTTGTCCTGAATCCTGTGCTCCATTTACTATGTTCTATTTGAACATGGTAGCACTCAGTAACATATAGTCACGTCTTAAAAATAATAATCCATTTTGATTTCCCAGTGCACTCAAGTTGTCATGAGTGTGACTCTTAGAATTTTTTTACCGTTTTCATGTGAATACATGGATGTTCTCTACTTCTGTAGTCAAATACTTGGACTAAATCTCAGGCTTCAGTTTCAAGTGCTGGAGGTAAATTAAGCATATCAGACCTTTTATTCTTGTTCTGTGTTCAACCTGTGAGTTGCTCTCTGATCAGTAAGGGAAAGGCTCTATCGCTACGCTAGTAAAAAGGTAATATAACTTCTTTAAATCATGTTTGAATTATCTTTTTGTGGTTCTAGTTCGTTGTTGTTAATTAGATCAAGCCAGATTTCCATTGAGACTGCAGCAGCAGTGTCATCATCCTCTAATCTGTCAACTCCCTTTGAAACCACCTTCAATTGCTTTTGTAAATGTAGTGCTTCTCTGTAGACTTGCTTGTTGTGTAAAATGCATGTTGTGTTTTGATCAAAGTCCTCCTTATGTTCACTGCAAATACACAGATTAAGGTAGTCAGAGACAAATATAGAGGCACAATCTTGCTTAAAGTGACATTAAACTGTTACTGGAAAGCTGAAATTTCAATCCTCCCCTTTCAATTAGTCAACTGGAAGTTTGTGATAGCAGAGAGTATTTTTGAACTTCACCAGTCTTCCACTCTTACCCTTTTTTCAACAGATTAAAATGAGGTTATGATCACATGTATGACATTGGTTCAGAATATCAGTGCTCAGAGAGAGTTTTTCATTTTTTGTTCCTTTTTTTTGTCTGAAAAAACGACAAAGATCATTTAACACTGTGCTTTCTATTTTTGTCTGACATTTATAGTAATTTGGAAGTTTGCTTTTGTAGTTTTCTTTCGCAGATCCTGTCATTAAGTAGAAAAGCTGTCTCTTGCCTTGTTTAGTATTTTCTCAGAATTACTCAATTTGTGCTATATTGCAAGCATAGAAGAACATGGCAAATTTCTTATGAAATATTAAAAATTCTTGTATCATATATTTATAACTGCATTGGTGACCATAATTTTTTGTTGTCTAAGGCAAACTGTTGTTTGGTACTTGGCATGTGTCCTTGATCTGATATCTGGAAGTATCACATCAGCTGTATTTTGATGGCAGCAACCTGAAGGACTGTCAGATTCACTGGTGTTTTGTTTGGGGTTTTTTGTTTGTTTGTTTATTTTTTTCTTTTGTTAGACTGACTAGAACCAATCTGTTAGAACATCTGATCACAGGGAAAACTTTTCTTCCATACCTTTAAAATAAGCAGCAGTAGTTTCTACATTGCTGCTTAAAATCTTGCAGATTTACTTTTAAGTACTAATGACATGTTTTTATCACTTCAGCCAGCAGTGTTTTTACCACTACATTTGACCACTCAATTAAGTTTAGACCTGCAGTTGAATGTAGTTCCACGGCAATTATTAAATACTCATCATTCATTTGCAACATTACTCCACAGCTTTTGCACAGCAACTACACTTACTGCAGTTACAATGTGGAAACACTGGCTTAATGAGATCAATACTGTGAAATCTGAAGATTGAAAAATAAGATGAGATTTCCAGTTTAACACAAAGCCATGTAATCACATGCCCTGCTCCCCTTCCAGGGAATTTGAGATACTAGCACACAAACTTTGCCAGTGATGCATCAGCTCCTGTTTCTCAGAACAAGCTGCTACTTAATTTTTCTCCCTTCCTTTCCTTTCTTTTCTGCAGTTCTCAAAAGATTTTTAACTTGATGCTTTCCTAGGAAGCCTGGCTGGAACACTAATGACTCCGTTGCTTTGCTTTTACCTTTGTAAAGTAGTTATTAAAGTTTTAGACCTTGTTTGAAATTACATCCCAGTTATTCCCGAATAAAGTCTTTCAGATATATTTAGATTCCATGTAAACTTCAGACTGGCATAATTAAAATTCAAGCTTTGAAGAAAGAGACTAGACCTTTAGAAAATCCCTCTCCCCTTTCACACTTCTCTGATAATTAACCCCAGTATTTGCATACAGTCAAGTTTGAGAGATCCTACCATGTGCTAAAGTTGAGTGTAGAAATAAGCTTATTTCTAGAATATTTGGTGAGGGAGTAGTGTGAGTGGCAGAGGACCTGTATTTCAGGCAGTTAGATCTTAAAATACTCAAGCTCTTTGGTGCTCCACTGTCCTTTAGCAGGGACGAATTCCTCCATTTCCTCTTCGTTTAAAAAGAAATTAAATGAACAGGGAAGCAGAAGATGCAAAGCACCCTGAGGAAATTGCTCTAGCTGCTTGCTCATAAAGTGTGCTTGTGTGGCTGTAGCCAGAAACTGTCACGAGACTTTGAAGTTGATAAGGCTAACTAGTACTGCTCTTTACAGGCACAGCAGAGATTTTAAAATTCACATAATAAAATTTACTTATGACCTAGTCTTGAGTCCCCTTCCACGGTAAGTGGATTGCAGGTGGATTGCGTGGTTTATATTCAAATTGCCTGTGCATTTATGAGGACTTTCTGCCTCCAGTGTCAACTTGAAAGCCCTGCTCTGGAACTGCAGGTGGATGGACCATAGGTTTTTGTTAGGACAGGCACCAAGGGTTACATAGATACCACATTGTGTTTGGATTTCTGTTTTATTAGCTTAAAATAATAACAGATATTTAAAAGTACTTAAAATATGTTTCAAAGGCAAAGGAGTATTGTGTATGTAATTATATAGGGCAACAATAAGCTGCTAAGATGTGTTTTTGCACTGGGACCTTTCACTTCTGAATTAAAAATAGGCTTTTTTTGGTAGGAATAATTTTTCCTAGTCATAAACTTTTTGCTTAGGAAAAGTTCCCAATTATTGTAAAGATTAGACACCGTAACTATCTTTGTGATTCCAGTACAGTGCATTTAGATGGTATTTTTTGCCTGTCTGTTTAAATAAATACTTGGGTAGTGTGACAGATAATAATTTTGAATAATATAATTTTAAATCTCGAGAAATCCTATATTAAAAATGTCAGGTCCACTCCAATCTTTGCATTTTATTTTTTGAGTAATTTACAGTTATAGCTAATGGTGGGGCTTGTAGAAATTAACTTTTGTATTCAAAGAAAATACAGCCTATTAACTCTGAATCTATGGAATCATTTACTTACATGCAAAATTCAAGCATTTGCTGTCAACAGCCAAATTAATGTTAACTTCAGAAAGAAAACACTGCCTCCTAATAAAGGCCAAAATACCTTGAATTTTTAAAGGGGAACTTTTTATCCATGTTCTGATACTGAGAGCATAGTTGTGGTCATTAAAAAGAGGTAAAATTCAAAATATTTTAAACTACAGGCTTTGCAGACCATGCAAACATCCACATTTAAAAATATAATCTCACAGTTGGTATATTTGTTTTTTTTTTTATCTGCGACAGAAAGGAGGTTACATCAATCCTGCACTGAAATGGCCTTGAAATTTTGGTTTTTTCTCTACAGTTTATACTATAATTGTAGCTTTATGTGATCTTTACATCTTTAGTAAACATATTTAATCAGTATCATTTTGCTTTTTAAATATGCACAAACAAGGCAAACTTCATTATAGTATGTAAGCATAAATATAAAAATATGTCAGGTATAATAGTTGAACATAAGGAACGGTAATTTTTTTAAATACCCTTTCCTTTTAAAACATTGCTGCAGAGAAGTAAAAGGATTAGAAGAGGAATAAATCCTCTTCAGCAGTGAGTGTTTTTTCTGTTGCACGTATCCTGTCCTATCTATAGCACATGCAATACATGTACCTTCAATTACCATGTCCATCATGACACCAGTGAAGAGTTCATGCTTGGGTTTTTGTTATCATGAACTTTTCTCACATGGTAGTACTCTTAACCTGTTAACGTCCATCATCTCTCTGCAAGACAGCTTTGCTGAAAGGGAGGATCTTCAAAATGTAAGCGAAGTGCCTCCTGCCCCACAGAGTAGTGATCAAGGGAAAGCTGAAGGAAGCAGCGTGTCTGTTCCTTCTCCTGAGATTTTATTTTTTTCTTAATCCTTCCCAATAGGAGAGTGGGAGAATAGAGATGTTCATTCTTTTCCACCTATTCACAC